CCTCCTGAGGTCCATCCTGGCAGGTGTTCACACAGCACCGACTGGGGCTTTATCATGCACTGACTCAGACCTGGTGACCTCTAAGAGCTTTCAAAACCCCAAGGCCTATTTTAGCAGCACTGAAGAGTCTGTGTTTCTCTGCCCTTCACAATGAACTGGCTTGATCAAATGTCAGTGGTTTGGAGAGAGACTCAAGTAGCCCTCCATGTGTGCATTTGGGAAATCGATGCAAACTCAAGGTCATGGGGAGAAAGTGCAGCCCGCACATTTGGAAGGGGAAGGAGGATCATGAAGGTGCAGTCTGTCCCTTTCAGACCCTGCCTGGGTTCCTGAACACATCGAGCCTTTCTGGCCTCCAGGGCATACTGCTGTCTGCAGACAAAGTCCACCTGCTCCCAACAACCTTCTCTGCCAGCTACCTCTAAATAGTCAAAAGATAGTTTCTGGTTATGTGTGGAGACTGTCAGTGTATGACTGACAGCACTCTCGCCCCCACTTCCACCTACACCAGCTCAGACAGGTGTCTCTCTCCTGTTCCTAAAGAACTTCAGGCAAGGGAATTCAAGCAGCCTCCTTCTGTCACCTAATCCGATGCCTTATGAGACCCCCAGAGACTTCCTGGCCCAGATTTGCCAGCCACTGGGTCTGCCTCTGATGGTAGTCCCCAAAACATGCCGGCTTTGAGCTGGAGGAAGATGATTATTTTCCTTGATATCAGCATCAAAGGGTTAAGAACATCCATAAACATCTCATTTCCATGATGGGTCCATTAGCCATGGAGTAATTGTCTAAACCAGTTTTCCCAATCCTGGTTCTCCATCAAAGTGTCCAGGAGAAACTTAGTAAAAGTCAGTATTTTGATTCTACTCCAAGAGATTTGAAGTCAGTAATTCTGGGAGGCGTGGAGGAGCAGGTGATGTACACACACAGCCATGGCTGAATCCCAGTACATCTCCTGACCTCCTTTGGGAAGGTAGAGTGGGAAAGACATTTAATTAGGTGACAATAGCCCAGTGTCCAGTCTCCGCTTTGCCACTGACTAGTGGTGTGACCTGGGGCTCCTTTTCTGCATCTGCAGAATATGGGTCATGATATTTATCTCCTGAGGCGTTGTGAGGATGAGATGAGATGAGAAGGGGAAAGGATTATAGACTAAGGATGACCAAACCTCCTGCTGTGCCCAGGACAGTTCCAGTTCACATCTGTTTTCCTGGCATAATGATTAACAGCTCTTCCATTCACCTGCAAGCGTGTCCTTAATGGAAAGAAGAGTTACACAGCCACCCTACCTAAAACATATTAGGCCCATGTTAGCGACATACCAAGCCATTGCATCAGGCAAGTCTTTGGTCATTACAGTGGTATATGATTTTATTAGTTCATCAACTATGGCTCTGGCCTGCAAAGGTATGCCGCCTCTCTCTAGTGGTGGAGAATGTACTGAAAAAGATCCAGAATGTCACCATGCACAAGGGTGGGCACTCAACAAAGGGTTGTGGGCAACATCTAGAGTTCTCCTTGTCAGGGAGGAAGGCTTTCCCTTCCTCCACCCCACGCCCACCTATGACCATCCAGATTGTACAACCAGCTCTCAGCCTTCCCTATTCTGAAGATGCCTCCCTGCTCTTAGCACTCCGGCCCCACATACCCCTTTTCTCCCCCCCTACAAGTCCCTTCCCCATCACAATCTCTCTGATTCTAGGCTTTAGGCAGCTTTTCTTCTACATTTTGAAGTGAGCATGACCAGTACCGCCTGCGGCATTCCCAGTGCCGTGCATCCATTCACCATTCCACAGACTTCCACTTAGGATGCCTGCCACAGGCCAGGTATGGCTCTAGAATTGGGGAACAGCAAATGGAATGAACACCACGTTGTCCCCTCCTCCCCCGATCATACAGCCTCAGTGAGAAGACATTCAGGCAAATAGTGAGAAGTAGGGTGGGTGCTGTGACCAAGGATGGGGCTTGGGAATACAGGGAGCTGAGGGTGCAAATGGCAGGGCCTGGCCTCTCACCAGAGTTTTCCTGGTGCTTTTGGGAAGGGAATGGAATCCTGCGTCCCACCTCACTGATCAATGACTAAGTGGCTGGTCATCCTTTCTGGGATGTAATTTTTCTAGCTGTAAGTTTGGAATTATGTTCCTTAGAGAATTCACAGGCCTTTTGGAGAATGGAGGACTGTGCACCAAGAAGCTTCTTCAGTGTGGGAAAATGACTCAATGTCATGGGATGTCAATGGCAGAAAGGGGCTGCCTGAGCCCAAGGCCCAGAAAGTAACTTGCTCAAACTCCTCTCCAATGTCTGATCTGCCTACCCTGCTGATACCTGAAAAAACTAGGGCTTGCACCCAGGCCTGCGTCTGCTGGGGCTCCTGCCCTTCCACCGGCTACCTGACTTTCCTGGATTACACAGCAGCCCCAGAGGCCCCAGTTCCCACTTCTCCTCCCACCCCACTGAGGATGTGTTGTGGTTGGGGGGCACTGTGCCTACGGGCTGCCACGGCCTGGAACCCTGGGTGTCTGTGCCTATTTGTGACAGATTCTGCCTGGAGCTGCAGAGATGTCAGAGTCATTAGAAGGGATCATTTTTCAGGTTGTGTGGTATGGAATGTGCTTCTAACTGGCCCGCAGAGCGTGCTACTGCTGGGCTGAGACAGAAAACTCAGTTGGGGGTTGATGTGGAGGGACCACACACAGCAGGCTACACTTTGCATCAAGTTCAAAAACAGCTGAGACCAAACAATACCTTGGTTAGGCACACACATCCATGTGATCAAACTTTTCATAAATAGCAAGGGAATAAGGGACACAAAATTCAGGATAATGCTCATCTATACGGGAGGTGAGATGGGGTGGGGCATCCAGGAAGATGCAGAGGTGCAGCAGCATTTCAGTCATTGAGTCAGGGCATGGCTCGAATTAATAAGTGTAAGCAAATTAATGTGAATATGCATTAATTTATTTATACTTAATTATAATTATAGTCATTACAGTTATTACCATGGTCTTTCTAGTTAATATTTATATTTTAGTGAAAAACTATTTATTTTTAATATTAACTGATGTATTTCCCTTCTAATAGTAATACTAATACCTTTATTTTATTTATTAGTTTTTATTAATTTATTTTGTTAGTATTTATTAATTTATTCTAGTTACTATTTTATGTTCTAGTTAATAGTAATTAATTTATAATCTGGTTGCTGAGTTACATGGTGAGTTCATGGATATTCATTGTATTAATATATAAATTAGCAAAAAGTGAACCATGAATGGTCCAATAATGACATATGGCACGAGCCAAGAATTAGATTAAGTCTGTGCATCTGAGATCCACAAAAACAGAAAGCGTTACTCAGTCGGTTGTCAGAGTCTAGATGGTCTGAGTATATCCCACTGCTCCCCCACATTAACTGGAAAAGAAGTTGGCTACCTGCTAGAAACAGAGCCCCCATGCTGACATATGAGGGTGGCTGAGAAAGCAACTCAACACATTATTCTCCCACCCCCATTGCTACCCATATAGGCATGTGCCAAGAAGAGGGATCTACATCAGCCAGAAAGCAAAGAGTCTTGGTGAGGCCTGAGGGTATACCTGAGTGAGGAGATGGAATAGCCTTTCCGGAAGAAAGTCAACATTGGTCAAATTCTCAGCCCTCTGGTTCAGGGCGGTCTTGCACAGAGGCAGTGGGCCTCAAGCTGGAACATGCATCGCCATCACCTGGAGGTCTTGTTAAGACACAGACTGCTGGCCCCCACCCTCAGAGTTTCTGATTCAGGAGGTCCAGGGTGAGGCTTGAGAATCTGCAACCCTAACAATTTCCCAGGTGATACTGATGATGTCACCCGTCCAGCGACCACACTTTGAAAACCACTTCCCTAAGGCATGACAAACTGGAGACTGGAGGACCTCCAAATGTCTTTGGAACCTAAGCATGTGGAATTCTGTGCAAAAGGGAGGAGGCATAACACCATAACTGCAGAAAGACAGAGGAGCACGCTCACAGCTGGGTTTAGATCCGTGGTCTTTGAGCCACGTGGGACTGTGGTGGGAGTGTGACCAAAGACTAGGAAGGAAAGCCACTGGGTTAGAGCCTTCAGCACTCAGGGCAAATCCTTACCATCTTTCAGGCAGCCTAGAGCTGATGTCTTGATTCTGGATGTGAGCTTAATCCAGGCTCCTCCACATGGGACCATGAAGAATGTCATCCCTGACACTACAGAGCCAGGGAGCCATCTCTATGGTCCAGCAGCTGTTTGCTTGATTTTGGGGGCTAGAAATATTAATAGATCATCTCAAGGAAAATAAAACTCTGGCTGAGAGCTGCAGAGATGGAGCCTGGGCTTTGGAAACTTAGAACTTTTTCCAGAATATCCTTGCCCACCGACTTTCTCATCACCTACAGCAGGGCAGGCCCTGGGTTAGACATCATCCTGGTGATTGAATAGGCAGAGCCAGCTCCTGTGATTTCACCCCTACCTTCCAATCACAGCCACTGTCCCCAAGAAGGCTTCTCCCCAGCTCCCTCACTACCCCCACTCTCACCATTGCTAGGCATAGTCCTCTCAATCCTTCAAGATCAAAGTGAAACCTGCCTTCCGCCTCCTGCCTGCTCCTGCCCACTGGGAAGACATGTACTGCCCCTGTGAGGAGGGCAGCAGCGGATAATGACCCAGATCAAGGCAGGAAAGCACCAGCACTGCCTGGCTGACGGAAACCAGAAAATCCAATCTCAGTAGTCAAGAGGCACTGGTTCTGGAAAAAGCCTTTCTGTGAAGAGATTAATCTGTCTCTTGCCTCTCTTTCCATAGGTAAAAGGGAATCATTGAGACCAGCCTGGGCAATGAGGCAAGACCCCATCTCTACAAAGAAAAAGAAAATTAAAAATTATCCAGGCATGGTGACATGTGCCTGTAGTCCCAGCTACTTGGGTGGCTAAGGCAGGAGGATCACTTGAGCCCAGGAGGTGAAGGCTGCAGTGAGCTATGATTGCGCCACTGCACTCCAGCCTGGGAGACAGAGTGAGACCTCATCTCTGAAAAAAAATGAAAAAAAGCATCATTGTCATCATGGCTTCTGGAAGTAAAGAATCATGTCCTCGATTTCTGGTAGAACTCACCTCCCCACTCCCGCTGCTAGACATGCAACTACTCACCTCCTCACCCCCTGATGACATGCTCCCAATTCCCAGGAAGACTCAATAGGGACACAATCTCAAGGGCAGGGTTCGTATCATCATACACATCTTAGAGCCATTTGTTAAGAACTGTGCTTTAGACGCCTTGAATGCAGAGATCACTGAGATCTGATCCCTACTCATACAGGAGACTGACGGTTGCAAGAAAGAGTGAAAATGCTGAATAAACAGTGGCATAGGCCCTGTGTTGGAATCCTGTGTGGTTGTTTAAAAAAAGAAGCTAGGTATCTCTGTGAGGCTATGAGAGTATCACCAAGATAACATTGTTAAATAAAGAAAAGGTAGCCGAGGGCAGTGCGGAGGGTAGGATCCAATCTAAGTTTTAAAAAATCGTGTAGTTTTGATACTGCACTACGCTTACATAAGACACCATCAATGGGGCAGCTGGGCAAAGGGTTCACACAACTCTGTGTACTATTTTTACAACTTCCTGTGAATCTATAATTATTTCAAAATAAAAAGCCAAAAAAAGAGGCGTCTATGGATATGCATGTGCTTGTGCACCCACTGAAATCTGGTGGAATGATACAAAAGAAATCATTAATAACAATATTTGCCTCTGAAGAGTGGGAGTGGGATGGGTTGGGAGTGAGAATGTTTTCTTTGACTTTTTATGCCCTTTTGTCCTGATTTCTTCTTGCTGTTGTGCATGTGTCTCACTTGAAACATCACCATGACAGGCACATGCACGGGATGTCAGGGAGCCCTGAGGACATCGAACCTTGACCCAAAGGGAAGGTGGGGATCAGGTAACCCCTGAGCTGAGACAGGAAACCAGGTGAAGAGATGGGGCAGGGGTGGTGTTACCACCTGAATTGTAACCCCCTCCCAAATTCATGTTGAAGTCCTAATCCCCAGTACCTGAGAATGTGACTGTATTTGGAAAAAGGGCTTTAAAAGAGGTGACTACTTTCATCCAGTCTGACTGGTGTCCTTAGAAGAGGCAATTAGGACACACATGGAGCCACCAAGGGTTCATGAGCCTAGAGGAAAGACTACGTGAGGACACAGCGAGAAGGTGGCCAACTACAAGGCCAGAGGAGATCCCTCACCAGAAATCCACCCTGCTGACACCTTGCCTTTGGACTTCCACCCTCCAGAACTGCATGTGTGGTTAAGCCCCCAAACCTGGGTAATTTGTTATGGCTGCCCTCGCAGACTGACCCAGGAGAAGAGGGGATGATGAGAGCCTCTGACAAAGGCCCCTCCCACCTCCAGGACACACCTGGATGGACAAGGACTGGTGTGTGCAGAAGCCATGGCCCAGAGAATGAAGAGGCCTCACTGAGTTGAGAAGTCAGCAAGGAGCTCAGTGAAGCTGGGCCATCTGTGGGGTAGATGGGACAGGGCTCGGCCAAGAGGGGTGGTGAGGAATGAGGCTGGAGAGTGGACCAGGGCCAGGCCATGGGATCCCCATTTGCCGGGCTTATCTACTGCAGGCAGCGAGGCACCTCAGAAGTGGGGCTGGGATTTGGGAGTGGGGTGATCTTGGGGGAACACCATCAGAGATTTAATGAAGGATGGGTTGATGTGAAAGTAAGGGAGAAGGGAAGGAGACATAGAGACCAGTGTGCAGGCTGCTGCAAGACAGGCTGTGTCCTGCACAGAGGCATGGCAGTGCAGACTAGGCTTATTCAACTCTATCCACACCCACCACACAGAATGTGCTCAGAAAATGCTACCTGAACAAATATGCATTTGAAGGGTCTCAGGACCCCTTCATGAGCCCTACCTCCTGCCTCTCCCTCATCCAACACACTCTCAACTTGGGCTGTAACAACCACGACATTATTTACCTTCCCCTCGGACAGCACAAGTGTAAGGATGCACAGTTCCTCCATGGTAGGAGAGGTTGATGGGTGTCACCCAGCTAACACCCAGCTCCTTCTCCCCAAGTCAAGGCCAGCTCTGGTCACCCCACAAAGACTTGAGGAAGCATGGGAGAGGGAGGAGGCTCTGGGAAGCAACAAACAGCTCACCTGTGGAAAACCCCATTTTCTTGTGGCACTTGGTAAATTCAATATTAAAATAGGTGACCAGGGCGTGGACGTAGTCGTTGCGCTGTATCTGCAGGCAGAATGCAGATGTGAACGAGAGCTCTTCCGTCTTCACTGTGTAAATGTCCACCTCCTGCAGCCCAGAGAAGAGAGAATGCCGGGAACTTATCGCCTCCACCAAGTCTGCGTCCTGGTCAGCAGCCTCGTTCTATGAGAGACTGTGGTCTGTCGGCTCTCTGAGGGATCTTGGGGTAATTTCTCAGGCTCCCCACCACCCTCCCAATCACCTCCTCCATCCTTTCTAGGGTAGAGTATGCTCAAGCAATGATGCAAATGGATTTGAATCAAAACCTGAGGGGAGCAGGATTCAGAAGGTAAATCTGCGGGGGTTTGGGGTGACAGGGGGATGATGGGGAAGGGAGAGAACAGGAGGATTAATTAGACAATGCATCCCTTCACCTGTCAGAGCAGCCTCGAGTGGTCCACCCAGGCACTGCTCCATCCATCGTTCTTAAAATGTGGTCCCTGAAAGATCAGCACCAACAGTACCTGGGGGAAAATTCTGAGGGGGTCAGACCTGCTGGATCAAAATGGCAATCTGTGTTTTATCAGGCCCTCCAGTGATGTGGATGAACCAGACTACCCCTTCCCCAATTTTTTGATACTCAAGTTCCCAGCAATAGGAGGTCTCAAGGATGACGTTAGGAGTAAGGACCTGAGCCTACAAAGTCACAGACTGAGCTTAGGAAAGTTCTGCTGGCCATTTTTCACAAGACTGGACTGTTTTCAAAAATAAATAAAAGGGGAAAATAAGAAGTGAGAATTTTCAGTTCTGACCGGGGAACGTGGAACATGAAGAACTAATAACTCTAAGAATTTCAACTGGAAAATGGCTGAAAATCAATCTCGCATGGGGAGCAGGTGGAATTGAAAGACGTCCGCATTGTGCTGTTCTTTTCTATAGAAGAATGCTGACCTGCTGCTTGCTGGCCCCGTGAGGCAGGGCAAACCTACCAGAGCCCAAGATGCATCCCGACAGATTCTAGGGAGGCCCAAGGAAGAACTTCCCATTAGTCAAGGTTGCGTGGCAAGGACCTCTGTCCTGAAAACTCTGTAAGAGCCAGAAGGCCATCTGTGTGCCTGGATGGTTCCACAGGGACCTCCTGAGGCCCAGAAGATGGAATTGTTAGCAGGAATTAGGAGAGAGGGACCAGAAGGTAGGAAAACAAGACCAACAAAGCGATTAAAAGGCTTTTGTCTCGATGTATTTCTAAGATAAATAAAGGAAAAACAGATGCAAAGTATCCTGGGGCCTTCAAAGAGAAGTCCTAACTCCACCGGGGTGGACACAGAAAAAGTGGTTAAGGGAACCAATCAGATGAGAGTCCTGCTGGGATCTGGGGTGTGCAGCCATGACATCCTCTGTGGAAGCTGAAGCTCTCTGACTGTTGATTGGGAAGAAGGTGAGATTACAGGTTTAGGGGAATGTGGGAGGCCCTTGGTGAGGTCACATTCAAATGCCAATTACACTGTGTGTCTAGAGCCCAAAGATAGGGAACAAGAAGAAATTGAATGGTGAGCCCTTGGTCAAGCATGCAGAATTTGATGGGATTATAAAGCCCATCTTCTTAAGCTGAGCCTTTTATCCGAGGCAAGAACCTCCTCTCTAGTGGCCATCTAGAGCTTGCTGAGCACCCATCTAGAGCTTGCTGAGCACCCATCTAGAGCTTGCTGAGCACCCATCTAGAGCTTGCTGAACACCCATCTAGAGCTTGCTGAACACTCATCTAGTGCTTGCTGGTCACCCACCTAGTGCTTGCTGAACACCTTTAGGGATGGAGAATTCACTATCTGCCAGGCAGATCAGTCCATGTCCTGGCATCTCTAGTCATTAGATCCTTCTTCAAAACTAATGAAGAAAGTTCACACTCATCCCTCTGTAACTTCCACCCACAGAAGAAGCCAAATATCCGTTCCAACTCACACAGTTCCCTTAAACCTTTTCTTCTCCAATACGAGCTTTCTCTGGCTTTTTATTCATTCCTCATAAGTCATGATGTCTGACCCCTCATCACCCGGGCCTTTCTCCTCCGGGTGGGTCCTGCTACTTGCAAAACTGAGATTTACACTGACCACACCAGGTCCTCCATTTCCCTCCATTGGCACATACTTATAGCAGCGTGTATTCCCAAAGAGCACACTGCTGGCTCAGCCTGCATTTAGGTCTGCCAAGCCCCTTCCTCCACCACAGCCCTCAAGGGTAGGGGTCCTTCATTACATGTCATCTGTTAGTGTGGGCCATTGCTCAAATCTAGGAAACTTTTATACTGAGTATCTGTCAGCCTTCATAATGCTCATTATCCCTCCCAGCCACATGGTCACATGGTGTCCACAGGTTTCCTCCAGCTCAAAAACTCTTAGGACAAGCCTTGGTTTCCTGTATTGTTATTAATGGCATCACAGTGTCTACCCTTACTGACTTTTCCATCACCTTCTCAGGGCCAATCAGCCAGGCTCCAGGCCATTTCCAAGGTCCCTGGTATCTTTCTTTATTGGTTCCCTTGGTCACCAGTGTAGCACAGCCTTCCGATCTCACTGCTGGCTCATCTCAGCAGCCTCACTATCTTCAAGCTTGCCCTGGCCGGTGCACTGGAGCCCTTCAGTGGCAGAAGCTACACCTCATTGGCTTGTATCCTCAGTGCACAGCAACACCTGATACACAGCAATATGTGTTGACTCATCAATCATTTCTCAGAACAGGTCTCCCTGCTTGAAGACTTCCTTCTTTGCTCAGGCCCCTCCTTCATAACTAAGGTTCATCCAGACGGTGTCACTCTCTAGATCTACAACCTTCAATGACTCCTTATGGCTTACAATCTAGACGTGGTTACTTTCTCCTTCTATCACATGTGTGCGCGCGCACACACACACACACACACACACCCCTCACCCCATCTGGCAGGAATTCCACCTCTAAAGGATCTTGCTGTCAGATGTCCATCAACCAAATGTCAGCTATCAACTCTTATAGCTGACAGCGTTCAATAGATCTCTGAGACATTTGCATCTTAATAGAGGCCTCTGATGGAACAAAAGCCTTTAGGACCAAAAGTATTGAAGCGGCACATTATAATGGCAACAATAAAGGCAGGTGGTCTTTTGGAGTGGGGGTCCAGGCCATCTGTGAGGAGGGGATCAGCTGTAGCTAGGCTTCAAAGACAAAAAGGTCCTCTGGGCTTAGGTCTCCCAACCCCCAACCAAAGTCTACATATCAGCTGCAGTTACCCTGACTCCCCAGAGCCCGGCCCCTCGACTAGGAGGCTTCCTCTTTTCTGCAGCAGAAACAGCAGCTCTGAGACCCAGGGAGACCCACTGACTTGGCCTCAGGTGACCCGCTTGAAACAGAGGGCTCTGCCAGCATAAATTACTCAGAAGTACCCCTGGCCGCTGCGATCCTCACCACTAAATAATGTTACAAATGGATGTCTCGGAGCAGAAGTCTGGTCAAAATAGAGTCTTAATTATAATAAAGCGTCACACTCTGCAATGTTAATAGCGATGAAAATAGCAATTAAGTGTGTGAAGAAGGGCAAGTGTTTTCCCAACAGACTCGGCAAGACGTAGCTTAGCACATTAGCAGGAGAGAGCTGGTGGAAGGGCTCTCCTGGAAGCAGAAGCAAACACAGACAATCGTTCTCCTTCTCAGGAACATGGAGGAAGAAAGGGACCAGCATGGGACAGGAAATCATTACAGGTCGCGAGTCCTGAGACAGAACCAGAGCCCCGGGAATTTTCATAAGGAGTGTACAGAACACGCACCCCTCCAGCCACTCCTTGGCTGCTTTGTCCCTGGATACACTCAGGTGTAACCAAGTGAAAGGCCCTGCTAGTTCTTGCCTGGGGAGTGGAGAGCCAGGATGGTGGCTGACGTGTCCGGCAATGCAAACAGAAATGCAGTGGCCACCCCTGCCAGTGGGGGCTGGGTCGGGGCAGAGAGCAACCTGGGTCCAAGAACATTGAAGGAATTTTATCTCCAAGCTGAAGCCATTACATGCAGATGCCTACTGGTAAATGTCACTGCCACATGTCATGTCGGCAAATTCAGTTGCTCCAGTAGACTTCTATCTATTCTACATTTACAGAAGTGCCTTGCACTATGGGTGAACTTCTTGTTGGGGGCATACTTCCCTTGCTCTTGTTTAGGATGACAAAGAGGAAGAGGCTTCAGGGACAGAGGGACTGGGATGGAGAAACAAAAGGACACATTTGCTCACAATCCTGCCTGGACCCAGAAAAAAGGCTGAATGAAATAGTGAGAACCCTGTGAATGGAGAGTCTGGGGCTTAGACTCAAAGCCAAACCTCTCAGGCAGGATGTTACTAAAGAGAGGGGGCATCTGATGGGGTCTGATGAGGTTCATTCTAGGTTTATTTGCCCTGTGAGGTCCTTACTGAAGGCCACAGTGACACTCCATCCCAACGGGTGCAGTTCTTCCTAGTAAGGCTTGTGTCCAGGACAAAGGACAGTTTCCATGTGGGCAAGGCAGCAGTTGTACCAGTCTTTCAGAAACCTCCCCACATCCTTAGAGGCCCTGAATTCCAATTCCTTTATCCTACTCTAAATATTCCAGCTCAGTACCCTGCCCCGACACTTTCAGCAAAAGAATGATGCATGCAGGAGCATAGTAGGCCAGCATGTTAGCAAATGAGACTCAGGTGGGCTGATTTTTAAATTTAAAAACTAACCTGGGCTGGGCGTGGTGGCACATGCCTGTCATCCCAGCACTTGGGAAGCTGAGATGGGTGGATCGCTTAAGCTCAGGAGTTTGAGACCAGCCTGGGCAACATGGCCAAACCCCATCACTACAAAAACAAAACAAAACAAAAAACAAAAACAAAGCAAAACAAAAAACCATGCCTGGTGGCACGTAGCTATAGCTTCAGCTACTCAGGAGGCTAAGACAGGAAGATCACCTGAGCCTCAGTGAGGCTGCAGTGAGCCATTATCACACCACTGCACTTCAACCTGGGTGACAGGGAGAGACCCTGTCTCAAAAAAAAAAAAAAAAAAATAGCTTGAGCTACATGAAACCTGTTCAGTTTAGTGAGACCTGCAGCCGAGCTTGTGATTGTGCCACTTGCCTCCGGTCTGGGGTGACAGAATGAGATTCATGTCTCAAAGAAATAATTTTTTTTTGGCTTGAATTATATAAAATTGATGTCTCTCTTTATTTTAAAAAAAACTGTCAATCATCAATAGTTTTTATATTGTTAACATAATATATTAGCATATATAATGCAAATGCCCAATACCAAAGGACTGGCACGAGGCAACCCAGCCCTGTGAGCAGTGTTTACCTCTGGAGGAGGATGGGGGCTGGAGGGCCAGAGGCACTTTCCCTTTAACTCCTATCTAACATGGACATGTTTGAAGTTTTTAATAAAAAGCATGTACTAGGGATCGGTGTGGCAAAGATGGGCTGACTAGCTCTTTCTTCATCTGGCAACTGCGAAGGATAGCTTGGAAAAGGTGTTTGAGCAGGGATTGTCCTAGTCTTTGCTACCCCCTGGGTCCCACACCTGAAAGAACTGTCTTGGGCAACAACATAAAATACACTCACACCTAATCGATAGCTATAATGAGCTAAAAAAAAAAAAATCGCATCAAAAAAGTCCTCATAATGTTTTAAGATTTACGAATTTGTGTGGGTTGCATTCAAAGCATTCCTGTGACCACATGTGGCCCCAGAGGAACGCAGGTTGGACATACTTGTTTAGAGCTTGTGCAAACAGGGACGCTCAGGAAGGGGCAGCTGGAAGCTCTATCTGGCAGGCCACCAGGGCAGAGGTGTGCTTGGAGGCGGGAGCATGATGATGACTACACAGCATATTGAGGTCCTGGATTTCTTTCCTAAGAGAGACGTCTGCCTCTGAATGGGCCAACTGCCCCAAACCTGAGCATGCTCTCCTCTTCCAGGTGTCCCCTCCTCCATGCCCCTCCCCTCCCTGCACCCCTACCCTCCTGCACGCCACCGGGGCCCCTGTGCTGGGGCCCTCCCTCATCCGTGCCACCGTGGAGCCACTCTCTCAGTGGCTGTGTCCAGGCGGACTGCCAGCTTTTGACTTGTGCTTCTGGAGCACCGCAGGCTCTGGCCAAGGCGGCCTTGCCTCACCAGGCGGGGGCTGTGCAGGAGCCGGCATTGCCTGGACTCCAGGGTGGCACAGCGGGGCTCCCAGCACACCCAGGTCCACCCCGGATGAGTGTCCAGACCTTTATTAAACAGGCATTGGTCACCACTTGCTTTGGATCCACGATGTCCACTAGAGGCTCCTTCATGGCCACGTCCCGGATGCAGGTCATGTCAAAGCCATAGACATTCTCCCACCCTGTGGGAGCAGAGCAAGACGTGAAGGCAGGCGCAGGACCCCCAGAAGCTCACCCAACACCCCTGAGTCCTAGAGCACAGTGTGCCTGAGGGCTGAGTGGCAGCTCGAGTTCCCTTGCATCAAGATTGAGGCAGAACTGCTCAGCGGGGGGCACTTTGCAATGTGCCAAATGCTCACCCCCATTTCCCATTTTGACCATGGGAAAACGTAAGTCCCACTTTGTTGTTAGGTAGACTAGAACTCGGAGAGGCTGGGAAACTGCTCCAAGCTCCTACAGCTAGAGTGCGGCAGGGCAAAGACTAGAACCCAGGCTAGCTGACTCTTCCTTTTCCTGTCCCTCCCCAAGCCGGCAGCGTCTCCTATGAACTCCCTTATCTGTCTTCCACGTTCTTATTCCTATGCTGGCTCCAGCTGTTCCCCACACCTAGAAGACCTAGAAGGCCCATCTCTCTCCCTTTTCCTGTCCCCGTCCGCTGAATCTTTAAGGTAGCACAGAGAATCATGGGCTCTTACAGTGAAATCAACTACAGTTGAAATTCCAGCACCACCACTTACTGGTCAGCCTTTGTACAAACGACCTAACCTCTCTGAACCTCAGCTTTCTCACCTGGGTGGGTCCAGGAGCATCTCTGCCTTCCTCATATGCCAAGATCCACTCCATGAGAAACTACCCCCAAGTGGAACACAAACCCTCTCAGCCGTGCTCCTTGTCCTCTTTGGGCTACTCATAAGATACTTTGTTGGGGAGGGAGAAAGATTTAGGAGTTGGTGAGAAATTAATTCAAGTCTGATGACCCAGGATCACCCTTAATATGGTAATAATTGCTCTTTTATTTATTTATTTATTTTGAGACTAGTCTGGCTCCATCGCCCAGGCTGGAGTGCAGTGGCCCAATCTGGGCTCACTGCAACCTCCACCTCCCGGGTTCAAATGATTCTCCTGCCTCAGCCTCCCAAGTAGCTGGGATTACTGGCACCCACCACCACACCCGGCTAATTTTTATATTTTTAGTAGAGACCAGGTTTCGCCACATTGGCCAGGCTGGTCTTGAACTCCTGACCTCAGGTGATCTGCCCGCCTCGGCCTCCCAAAGTGCTGGGATTACAGGCATGAGTCACCATGCCTGGCCAATAATTGCAATCATTGATTGATCATTCAGTCCAGGCTAGGTTTTTCATTTAATCTACATGAGGCTATTGCTATGCTACAGATAAGAAAACTGTGGCTGGGAGAAGTTGGCATCTGGCTCACATATAATATCTGGCCCATGATCACACATCAGGGAAACAGAGGGGCAAGGGCTCAAGCCCAGCATGTCCCCTAAATCCTTCACCTGCCATGGCCCATCCGTGACAGCAACCAGGAATGCAAGATTTCTCCCCCTACAGTGCAGAGAGGATGCCCTAGCAGACTCTTTAGTTTCTGGGCACCTGAATCTCATTCATCTGTTTTCTCAACGGGTTTCAAAATACCTTGAAGTAGAAATGCTTTTCCCTAAAATCTTACAGGATTAAATTGTATTTTAAAACATTCATCAAACAAACAGGACCTTAGGGAATGTATGTTTTGTACAAACGACCTAACCTCTCTGAACCTCAGCTTTCTCACCTGGGTGGGTCCAGGAGCATCTCTGCCTTCCTCATATGCCAAGATCCACCCCATGAGAAACTACCCCCAAGTGGAACACAAACCCTCTCAGCCGTGCTCCTTGTCCTCTTTGGGCTACTCATAAGATACTTTGTTGGGGAGGGAGAAAGATTTAGGAGTTGGTGAGAAATTAATTCAAGTCTGATGACCCAGGATCACCCTTAATATGGTAATAATTGCTCTTTTATTTATTTATTTATTTTGAGACTAGTCTGGCTCCATCGCCCAGGCTGGAGTGCAGTGGCCCAATCTGGGCTCACTGCAACCTCCACCTCCCGGGTTCAAATGATTCTCCTGCCTCAGCCTCCCAAGTAGCTGGGATTACTGGCACCCACCACCACACCCGGCTAATTTTTATATTTTTAGTAGAGACCAGGTTTCGCCACATTGGCCAGGCTGGTCTTGAACTCCTGACCTCAGGTGATCTGCCCGCCTCGGCCTCCCAAAGTGCTGGGATTACAGGCATGAGTCACCATGCCTGGCCAATAATTGCAATCATTGATTGATCATTCAGTCCAGGCTAGGTTTTTCATTTAATCTACCCGGCAACCACATGAGGCTATTGCTATGCTACAGATAAGAAAACTGTGGCTGGGAGAAGTTGGCATCTGGCTCACATATAATATCTGGCCCATGATCACACATCAGGGAAACAGAGGGGCAAGGGCTCAAGCCCAGCATGTCCCCTAAATCCTTCACCTGCCATGGCCCATCCGTGACAGCAACCAGGAATGCAAGATTTCTCCCCCTACAGTGCAGAGAGGATGCCCTAGCAGACTCTTTAGTTTCTGGTCACCTGAATCTCATTCATCTGTTTTCTCAACGGGTTTCAAAATACCTTGAAGTAGAAATGCTTTTCCCTAAAATCTTACAGGATTAAATTGTATTTTAAAACATTCATCAAACAAACAGGACCTTAGGGAATGTATGTCCCTGTGTGTGTTTAGGAGAGTGGGTGCGTGCGGCAGGAGGTGTGGATGGTCAGTGACAGCTTGCTCCTTTGACTCTGATTCTTTTATACGGCACACAAAGAGCTTCTTTCTTGGGAAAAGAAGGCAGAGAAAGTAATCCCAGAGGATGAGTGCTTGTGAAATTCCGGTTTGAGGAAAAGATGCCCACCGAATCCCATTAAATCACCCGAGGCTGGTGCCAAACTCCCAATTAAAACCTACTTTGTGGGGAGGAGGCTGCTTAGTTGGCAACAGGGCAGGTTTCAGAGAAGACTTCCCTCTAGAATGTGGAAATAGCTATCCACCCTCTGTGTATGTGTATAGCTATCCACACACAGAGTGTGTATGTGTATCCACACACACACTGAAACACATTGCCTTCTGTGTCTTTCTCAAGAGACTTGCAGCTATGCACCTGCTCTTTCCTCCCTGGACTCTGCCTGGAGTTTGAGTTCACTGCTAGTGCTAAGCAAAAGCCTGAGAGCCAATGTGTGTAATGGTGAAATGCCTAGGCTTTGGAGTTCAAATCTGAGCTCTGCCACTTCTTTGCTGTGTGATCTTAGGCACAAATGTAACCTTTCTAAGCCTTGGTTTCTAAGGATTCTTTAAAATGGAAGTGATGATAATGATAGTGATCCCATAAGATTGTTATGAGGATTAAATGTGATAATATATGTAAAGTGCATAAGACAGTGCCTGGCACACAGAAAGCACTTGATACATAATAGTGGTTATCATTATGTGGTTTGAGCTCTGGCTTTGCTGCCATGCAAGCTGTGTGGCCATGTGCAAATCAATCCTTTTTTCTGGGCTTACTTATAAAATAAGGATTTGGGTTCGGTGGTTCTGTGTTCTAGAATCACCTGGAGCAGTTTTTAAAATGCAGACTCCAGGGCCCACGCCAGACCTACTAAATCAGAATTTCCAGATTTGAGAGCCAGGGAGCTGGAGTTTTACAAATCTATACAGACAATTCCAGCCAGTTTGGAAACCTGTGAGGTACATGATCTTTAGTGTCTCCAAGTCCCAAAATGGTGATCTTAGTGTCTCATGGCCTTTGTGAGACCTTCTCTAAACGCTCCTGACCATACAACCTCTCCTGTATCCTCAACACCCATAGTATAGCATTTGGCACAGAATAGGCCCACAGATAATGCTTTTTGAATTGAGAGTCATTCCCAGACATTTAATGCCTGCACTGTTTTGCAATGCTTGGTGTCTTAGTTACCTTTATATGGGTTAATTTGGGTCTCATCTCCTCAGCTGGACTGCCCTACCTTCAATCATTCAGAACACAGATCACCCAAGGCATTAGATTTTTTTCCTCCTTTCTGCTAGCCATTGATTTCCCAGTAGCCCTTTTTACCAGAAGTGGAGCAGAGATGGAGTAGGATACAAATCAATCACATTAATTATTTGTTGCAATTGTATACCGTATGCCAAGTAAGTGTATGTGGGGTAAGAGCCATTGGTCATCAAGAAATATAATGATGATCTAGAAATTTAAAAAATTCTATCAGAGAGACCTGTGAAGCTTTTGTTAGTGGATGAAAACAGACTCCTGAAAGGGACTATACTATGGCATAATGTGTATAATTAAAGCAACAACAAAGCCCAAATCTGCTATTACTACAGACTGGATTGACTCACACCCTCATTCTAATAGCCTGGCAGAGGCAATGCTCTCTTCTGGGCATAGATGTGATTCACCTGTCTCTGCTGGTCCTTTGACTCACAATGTCCAGCATTAATGAAAAATTATAAGACACAGGAAAAAGGGAAAAATATGACCTATTATCGTAAGAAAAAAGTCACAGAACAAATTTAGAGATGCTCAGATGTTAGAATTATCCAACAAGATTTTAAAGTATCTATACTAAGTATGTTAAAGAAGCTAGTGGAAAAGGTGGACAGTGTGTGTAAATGACTGGAGAATTTCATTAATGAGATGGAAACTTTTTCAAAAAGCCAATGGAGATGCTAGAAATCAAAATAACAATGTAAGAAAAGAAGACTTTTTAAAATGAACTTATTAGCAGAATGAATATATCAGGAAATAACCAATGAAGTTGAAAACAGGGCAATAAAAATGATCCAAACTTAAACACAAAGAGAAAAAAAAGAGTGAAAAAAATAGAGGATCCAAGCTTCATGGGATAATATCAAACAATATTTCATATAATAGGAGTTCCTGAAGAAACAGAGAAGGATAAACAGGCAGAAAAAAAAAAATGTAGAAATACCGGCTGAAATTTTTCTAAACTAACGAAACAATCAATCCACAGATGGAAGAATTCCATGTAACCCCAAGCAGGATAAATAAAAAGAAAAACACACCTAGACACATCAGAATCAAACTGCAGAAAATCAATAAAGAGAGAAATCTGAAAAACAGCCTGAGG